ACTACTCATTTTGGAGTATTCCACAATCTATACACCTTGAAAGATAAAGACACAAAATCTGTATTCTAAAAGTCTCAGTGTGCTTATATATGAAAGATACCCCTGAAAATTAACCTAAAAGTAATGCATACAAAATAGGCTTAATTAGACAAAAACTTCATGGCTGCTTGCAGATGTTAAAAAAAAAACAAAAACCCTGCACTTCACTTTAAACTTGGCATGTTTCTGCACCAAGCCCCACACATGCCCAGAAGAGGCAGTGCCTTAGTTAAGCCCAGCTTGCCTGATGTCTGTATAGATCGGGTGTTTAGTGGGACTTTATTGGGGCTTTTATCTAACAGATGATTGAATTATCTTTAAATAAAAGTGCCAATAAGCCCTGCTGAAGCGCCCAAACTATACAGATGCTGCAGAGCCTGGTCGAAGTAACGTGCTGCTGCTTCCAATAAAGTATGCTTTTGTTTTTAGCAAGTGCAAGCAGTCTTTATGTGAATCAGTTCAATTGAAATGCTTATTTTTATATAACAGAAGTTAAATGTTTAAAGTTTCCTTAGTACAGAAATGGTCATCACTCACAGTCTCTATCTGCCTGCTGCATACGTGTATCCTCTTCCTGCAAGTAGGTTTGGAGGTTTTTTAACACCTGGATTTTTAAGTTGACTGAGCAGTTCTTATCAGAAAGAATACTATTGTACAGAGTCTTCACTTCCTGCTCAAACATTAGACTTGGATGTTGTATAAATGCAAATCCTGAAAGAAAAAAATAAGATGACAAATCCCATTTGGTTGTCTGCTTTTCTTGCACATGTATCTTCCAAGATGAACCAAGTTCTGTATCAAGGTACAGATATGAAATAAAATACCAGTGTTTGCATGACAATTTGTAATACAGCAAAAAGGGTGTAAAGGATCAGGATTCCACTTTGGATTCTGGAAGGGCATGTAGTCTAGTGTGTAAAAACAACACAGTCAAGTACATACATTTAGTACAAATACTTTAAAAGCAGCATGGTGTAATGAATTCTGTTCTTTTTTCTATAGAGCAGCAAGCGAGGGTGCTTGTGACCTAGTTGCACAATGGGCCACCACTCGCCTCTGACAGGGGAGGTGGGGAGGTAGGTGGCTGCCAAAGCAGAGGCAGGGGAGGATGGGAGAGAGACAGGAAGTTTGCCCCCGTTTACCATAGGGGAGGTAGGGAAGGAGAGTAAGCAGTACCTGCTGTAGGGATGGGGATGGACGGCGTGGGGTGGGGCAGGGAAGGGGACAGAGGGCTGAGTGCTTGCCACTGATCCCTAGTGCTATGGGCCGGATCCAGTCACTTTAGGGGCTGGGTCATAGGTTGAGCACTACTGATCTTTAAGAAGTGGGAAAAGGGGAAATGACACATTTCTCTCAAAATAAAGCTATGAGGACTGTGAAGTACACAAAATTAACACCCTTAAAGGGAGTGCGGAGGCCAGAAATGACCTGGAAAACTGGTTTGGTGTATGGTTTGTCTTAACTCATCTTAGTCTGTGCACTTCAAGAATAGCAGGTGTTGACAGTTTTATGTCTTTATGATGACAGAACACCAGGATTTTTAATGAGTATGCCAGGAACAAAGTATGGAAGAGAAAACAGAGCATGTAAATGAAGGAATCAGAAAATTATTAAAAAAATTCTTATTAAAATCCAAGCATGCACCAATGGAACTAGCTGACTGGTTGAAGCCACAGGGAGATGAAGATGGTTTATAAAGCTGGTCTCATTTAGGAAAATTAGTATTGGTGAAGGCCTAGTTCAAGAAAGAGTTCAGTTCATCTAAGCCAGGCTTGTCCAACATGCGGACCACCAAGACATTTTCTGAGGCCCAAGGTCCCTTGCTCAGGACAGGCAGGTGAGGGAGAGGAGCTGCTCACCGCCACAGGGCCAGGTTTGCATGACCTCCCACATCACGTGAGCCGGGTCCCGCTGCTGCCCCGAGGGCTGCGTGGCACGGGGATGCCCTGGCTGCACCTGACTGGACAAGCTGGGGGCAATGCCTTAGAAGTACTACTGGTGTGGGCTTGGCCAGCCTGAGCGGATGGCAGGATGGCCAGACGTGCCCCCTTCATCCTGCCCCAGGACCTCCAGCACCCTGCTGGGGGCCGTGCCAGGCACGGGAATGGTGTTTGGCCTGGCTTGAAGGGCATGGGGCAAGGCGCAGGGGCGAGAGCATGGCCCCAGCCCGCTGTCCCCACTGCCCTGGGGCTGGTACTTTGCCTGGGGCCACTGGGGCGGCAGCGGCGCGGTCTGGCGGGATGTAGGGACCCAGCAGATGCCCGGCCAGTGCTTCCCAAGCCGAGGGCTCTGCTGGGTCCCGGCGCCCCATGCTTGCCAGACGCGACATGCCTGCCGCTCGCGGCCCCAGAAAGGCAGGTACCAACCCAGCCGCGGGGGGATTTGGCAGAGCCAACTAGGGTGTGGAGAGGTGGCCCCGTGCAGGCGGGTGGCTGGGGGAGGCTCGCGCAGGTGGGCACGCACCCCCCGCACCCTGCACACGGCCAGGACAGGGGCAGGGTGTGCACACGCAGGCAGGGGCAGGGATGAGCGCAGGCAGCGTCCAGGGGTGAGCACAGGTGTGTACACACGTGCTCATGCACTCAGAAACACACATGTATGCACATATGTGCACCCACCTCCACACACACACGCTCACACACAAAGTCATGGGCACTGCATGCACATGCATTGTCATGTACACCCCGGGCCATAAAGACCCAGAGGAACAAAGGCTCAAGGTAAAGCAGCACTACCCACACAGTGGCACACACAGGTACTATCATATCACTCACACACCTGGGCATATCTGCACAGACACTCCCACTGCCCTGGAGTCACCTGCCATGCATGCACAATCACAACAGCCCTACAGCATCACACACCTTGGACAGAGTGGCCCCAGAGCACGCAGTGGTGCACGCACAATTATGCTTATACAGTTGTGCCCAACCACGCATGCAGCACCGATTCCTGCACAGCTACCTGGGAGGTGTATACAGCTTAGAACTACACACAACTGCAGCAA